AAACCTGTATCGACATCATGTAATTGAAATGTACTTGAAGCCTATGAAATCAGTTGGCCTTAAGCCTGAAAGAAATGTACGCTACTGGTTTCGTCGCTCAGGAGACAAATTAATAGTTCACTATAATTATGAGAAATGTGTGATGAGTTCAGGAAGACTGCTAATTGCATACAAGTTAATTGTGTGTGCGTGTTACGTGCTCTGTGAAATGTCATTATCATCACCGAAAATTACACAAGACCAGACACACACGTTTATCACCAATGAGACATGTGACAGGAGCAGATATAGATATAATCATGTTTAAGATCAGTGTGCCTCATGTGGATGTGACTGAAAAATATAGTGCACAGAATTAAAGTCTAAGATACAATATGCTTAAATTAGGAAAACTTGTTTCTGCAGATTATACAAAGCATCTCATATAGATTTCCATAGTCTCTGCTTCAGCAACATCTGACATCAAAATAATGATAGAAATAGACTAAAGATTAAAAACATTGATTGGAGATCCTCAGATCCTCAATACATTGCCAATAACATTACAATAGGGTCCTGTTTGTACAGTACGGCAATCGGATCCAACCCACAGTTCATTCCATGCACAAAAAATAAGTATATATTTTTGTTCTTGGTTTTGTCCTAGTTTAGCTGATATTGTCTACAACTTAAATACTGGGTTAGCTGTGGGTTAGCCATCTGGTTGGTTCACTTGTAGTCCAGCATCGGAAATAGAGCCGATATAGATATAATCATGTTTAAGATCAGTGTGCCTCTCGTGGATGTGACTGAAAAATAAAAAGCGCAGCAACAAGAGAGATATTTTCTATAACCTTTATCTGTAGTTCACACACAGTCCAAGCTTCAATATGCTTTAATTAAGAAAACAGGTTTCTGGAGATAGGATTATACAAAGTGGCTAATATTGATTTGATATCTTATACATAGGATGAAGTTGGACCTTTTGAGAATGCAACATAATATAGCTGAAGTTTTTGCTGCACAGTACAGTTGTACAATCTGGATCAAGCCGAATCTTTGTTTTGCTGACAACATCGCTTAAGGGTAGATAGTTTCTGTAAATGTTACAGGCTCAGTTTTAAAGAGGCTTTTTCTCAGGCCTTGAGGAAGGTGCACTCACTGGGGAACCATATTAATCCAATGTCCTACCACTGCTTCCTTGTTGACTGACTTTTTTTGTTGCCTAAGGAGCATGGCTGAGTTGACAGGAAGAGTCCCATTATGTGGAATTGGTTACATAAGACATTAAAACATTTTGTTGTATTGTGAGGCTTAAAAGTCATGAAATCCAAAGCTCGTCAGCATGAGTGACGCAAACCATAAAAGAGAGAACTCAACAACACTAGTGCAGGTACTCAGGGCACATACCCCACCAAAAGAACATCTGCATTTCTCTCTGCATCATCACACTACATATCAGCTCTATCAGTCCAGTATCTTTACACTGTCCTGTCTGCCTGCACAGACAGTGAGGGCAAACACACAATTACAATGGGAGGTACAAGTCAACCATCGCTAAAGTACCACATTATTGTGAGAAATGGTTAGGTCATTTATTGAGAAGCGATAAAGATAACAATTGTCCTGTAGACATACCAAGTCACATACCTTAGTACTAGGGTCAATAACTTAGAACTTAAAAATAGCAAAACTGGTACAACCTGCTGACTTTTGCACATTGACACAACTACAGGGTAATTAAAAGCACAGATAAGACAAAACATTTAACATCTATGCAATACACAATGTTTCGGCATACATACTACTCTATGGTAAAGGTGGTTTCATCTGTCCCAGTTACTATTTTCTTAAAGCAACAGTCTGGTATTGTTTGTTCATATTAGGGCTGTAAGAACTAGTCAATTTATTATTAAAATATTATTTAAGTCAATTTATCATAATTGAATTTCACAGTTTAACTAGTCTACATAGACCATAGAGCACATGGCCCAACATACCATTTATAAAAGAGACTTATTTCAACCTTTTATTCTAATCTAAGTATCTTAAACGCTGAATAATCCATATTCTGACTCGGTAATTGAATTGACTCACTAATTTAATTATTAAGAAAATGTATTTATTTTTAATACTAAAAATATTTGTGAAAAGCTACCACACTTTGAAACCACAAAAAAATTATTGTGCAATACTTCTGGGTCTCAAAACTATTTGGTTCTATCACTACTTTGCACATGCATTAATTGTGGCCTCTGACATCTTTAAATCAGTATTTTCAGTCAGCCAATCAGTACTGAGCAAATAATGAAAAATAAAGCATATAGCAAGATAAAGACAGCTTGTAGTGGTCTGGTTTGTTCACAAGAAGTCACTTAAACATGAATTTTATGTACAAACAAATTATATTCAAGAAACAAAAAAGTGAGGTACTAATCTTAACAGATACTTGAATTACCAGGTGTCAAGTATCAATAAAACTCAACTCTACCTCTGTGATATAGATGAGCGGGATGGCGCTGTAGTTCTTCCTCATGCCTTCTCCTCCGCAGCCAACGGAGCCACATCAGCTCCACAGAAACCTCAAACTTCACTATACGAGCACTTAAGAAATCTGCCTCCTGTGCCATCAAAGAAATTAGCCTCCAACAACCAGCTCTCCATTGCTCCAAAGCTTGATGTACACTGGATCCATACTGAAACAAATTCCCCCTTGCACTCCGCTGTGTTCCAGCTTGTGGGCAAAATACCACCTTAAAAGGCATGAAGGAGTCCGAGAAGGAATTACCTGATGCCTATCAGCCACTCTCCTCTGGCCCAGACGCGCGCTTTGGCACAGAAAGCTCCGTTGCCAGTCAGGAGGGATTTATGATAGTGAAATGGAATAGGACAATGGCTGGGACGGAGAGGGCATACAAGCGTGAATCAGAATAATGTTAGTGCTAAGTTACTGATCCTGATGTGAATAGTATAATGTACACATAGTATGTCCGTGTGTTTATGTGACACAGCTGGATTTGCTTATCCTGCTTTGATATTAACAATTGTATCACAATGTATCAGTAATAAGTTGATAATGGATTTTAATATTTTAATCATTAAGTGCATGTAAGACAAAATATTTAGTGCTTGTGGAGCCTCTGCAGCTCACTATGTATGTATTCATGATTTGTATTCATTTAACAAGGCATGTTCAAAAAATTGCAGCATGTAGACCAACCTTTCCTGGGTCAAAATTAGGGCTAAAATGTGACTTCACTATAAAGTAGAGTATGAGGAGAAATGTGATAATCAAACTATTAACTGCAGCAGAATCCATGTTCCCAATCCTACCACCAGTGGTGCATATAAAGTTAGTCAAACTATTATTAATTTAATTCCAAACCTGAACGGTCAACACACAAATACACGGTTTGGGATAGACAAAACAGAGGCCTATGTTCCATCCCTCTCACCCATTCAACACAGTCATTTTAAAACCAAATCCTTATCCTTCTTACTACACACTTAACACTCAACCGTGAAGGAGCCTCCACATGCTGTATGAAACTGTCTTGTCATCAACTCCAAATCAAGTCAGAATCAGGACAAAACAGGGGTGTGTAACTCCCCACAGTTCTGATCAAGTTATGAACAAATTACTGAGCCTATGGAATATTTGTAAATAAAAGAAATGACTACAAATGTATATTGACTGCCTCAGGTAAGGACTTAAACATTACTGATACTACCTAAATGTGGAATAAGTACATGATGCTGCGCTTAAACAGAACATCTACACATTGATGTCCTTAAATATGATTTATTTATTTCTAGTAAAACTGATGAGTGCTATGTGTGGGAGGGGTTTTCACAGGGGCGTGTCTCGTATGTTTACTGACGATGCCACAACTCTGACGCCAAGAATCCTTCCAAGTGAGGAGACCAGGAACGAGAGGAAGAATTGCTGGTGAGGAGGTAGGTTTGGAAATGGGCCACACACCAAAACCGGCCCAAAAAATAGCGTACACATGAGACATTGCCGGGAAATATACCGAGAATGAGCGCCAACAAGTACAAAGTGGGATTTGTTTTCAGGAGATGTAAAAGCAAACTGTAAATATTGTTCATAAACTAGGCCCTCTAGAATTTCCCCGAATCCCCCGATGCTGTACTGCACACAACTGCCATTCATAATGTATTGTACGTTCAAACGCTGCGCGAATCACACTGAAAATATGTTCTTGATGAATACGACATGAAAAGACTGAAAAGGTACACCAATAAAAGAGCACCATCTAGTGGTTACGACAAGAGTAGATGATATTTTGAGATCGTGGATCTATGACTTACATGGAAGTGCCTTTGTTTCCCCTCTTCTTCCTCCTCTATGCTATCCCAAAGAGGAAGTATGGGTGTTATGGTGAGCCTCCTCATTTAATAAATCAAATTTCCTGAAAAAACAAGGATATCGATTGATTTGCCATATCCAATGTGTAAAACAATACTTGTGCTCATACACAAAGTAAAGCCTTTCTCCACTTTGAATAGTTGACATAACATGAAAGCAAAATGTACGTACGCACCTCTTGTTTTGTTCCAGTCCTTTGCAAACTCCAGTCTGGTTTGGTGGCTCCAGGTTTGAATTACGTCATTTTAACATGTTGTTCTTATCCAATCAGCATGAGAAGACTTCTCCACACCTTTATGTGAAATGCTGGTTGCAGCTAAGTTTCCTTGAGCTCAGCATAATCCTTCGTGATTAACATAGAGGTCTGTCACAGACACTGCGGTGTAAGCTTACTGTAATGTATACTACAAAGCTCATTGTCTAAGATACTGAGACAAGGCAGGCATTCTGTTAAAGAAACTAAAACACTGGCTTACTTGAGGATTAAAATAAATTAAAAAATCTAAAAAGAATAAAATGCCAAAACTGAGATATATAGTAAAGAACGCACATTCCATTCATATTACAATTAATATTTTATTTTGAATGTCGATATATAATTTACAATTGAAAAGTGATTATTCTTCAAATCTCACTGAGGTGTGGTTTTTGGAGGCTCCCACTCATGGATCTTCTTGCGCGTTGTTGGATAAGGAACATACTGCTGTGGAGAACCACTCACGTTGAACTGATGCACCTCAGCCAAGAACTTCTTGGGCTCTGGTGGGTGAGTGGTGGGGGGATCATCTGTCATGCAGTGAAGCCAACGATGCCTTAAAAAAAATGATGCTCTGATTTCTTGTGATAACATGCTGGTGGTATAATATAGTGAAGTTGTATTTACCACTCAGCTGGCACCATACTGCCATCCACCTCCCAAAGTGTTTTCTTTCCATTCATCTCAGTGGTGTAGATCACCCAGCGATGGCGTCCTTCACAATTAGAGAAGTCAATTGATCTATTGTATGCTTTTATTCTTAACTTATCAAACTTGTATAATATCACATTCTACCAAAAAATCCTTTAGACTATTTCATAATTACACAATATATATCCTTCAAGAGATTTTTACTTTGATTCATTTGACAGTCATGCATGTTTTTTTATATTCATATAGAAACGACTTGTCATTCTTCATTTTAGTTTGAAATGCAAGAATGGTAGGAAAAGAAGAAATGTAAGAGTAGATAATGTCTCAAAATCCTATACTTTGAGATTTCTTTAGATCAATTAATGTAATCATTGATTGGATTAAACACTACACAAATTAAGATATTGATCAGAGCTTCCTAATGTAATGAACTTAACCCGTCAAAGTCTGAAATATATAAAATCCAAAATGGCAAATGAGCAGCTAAACCATAGGGTGCCACAGTGGGGCAGCTGCAACTGTAAGTTGCCAAACTGTTGTTGTGTCCTTTGCCTTTCCCATAAGTATGACATGTGTGAATGTCACTGGTTCAGATCAGTAGAGTGTATGGAGTGAAAAAGCACTATATACAATGCATACCTAATGCATAATTATTATTACTAAGTATACATATTTAAATGTATAGTTTCTGTATGACAACACTGAGTTTTGAAATGTAATGTATACGTGACTTATTGTACTATATTATGATATACTATAACATATACACACTAAGATATAGGGTGGGTGAGTAAATATAATAATGTATAACTTTCCTTCTCTAATCTAGGAAACAGAGAAACGCATACATTAGATTAACTTTAATAGTGATACAATATAAATAAAAAAACTGCTTTACACTTAATACTTGAATACAGAATACTTTTATAAAAGAAAACTTACTATTGTTCTGTGTAAAATAAACGCAATCCAAGAACCATACTTACCAAAGAAGTAATGTTTCTTATCTTCAAAATATTTGTTGCCATATTTATCCACACCTATCAATGCTCCCGTTTTTACATCATTCACTCTGTTGAAAAACAAAATTATGTCAATAATATTGACATTTCACAGAGCTCGTTGGCTGTGCGGAGGTTAGCATTCATGCTAACAGACATGTCAGTATCATGACAAAAACCATAATTTGACGATGTAATATACTTTTACAATATAGCAAAGAGTTCAAACACAGAAATAGGCTTCTTACCTTAAAAGCTGCAGTAGAAAGCCTTTAACTCCTCCATGACCTCCTATTTGCCCCAAAGCCCTTCGGACGATGTTAGCATATTCCGCCATCTTTGACGAGTTCGGTAAAGTCAGCTTGATATTCACAGATTCGGACTTCCGCCATGAATATCTCACGAAAGCAACGTTGTTAAACGAAAGTAATGGTGCCAAAATGATCACCTCTACTTAGGCTAACTACTACAACATCGATTTTTCAAATCCAATGCGCTGTTTTAATGCAGAGAAATCCATTCAATCCAAGTGCAGAGAAAAGCGCATAGGGAGCGTCAACAAGTATCAATACCAGCTTTGTAAACGAACAATAGCTGTTACTTGAAGCCATGTACACGCACAGAACTCTAGGACACAATAAATAACTAACACTTCTAACTTGTACAACCTTTGTTTTCAGCATTCGCCTCTTTTTTTATATTTTTTATGATGAAATATGACTACAAATCTTGAATAACTTTTTTTCTAAAAGGGGCGTGGTCACCAAATTCTCAGGTATGATCAATAACTACAATATCTAACTACTACAACTTTTGTTTTCAGCAGAAATATCTTTTTTATATTTTTTATGATTAAATATGAATATGATTTTTGAATAACTTTTTTTCAAAAAGGGGCGTGGTCACCAAATTCTCAGGTATCATCAATAACTGCCATATCTAACTACTACAACTTTTGTTTTCAGCAGAAATATCTTTTTTATATTTTTTATGATTAAATATGACTACAAATCATGAATAACTTTTTTTCAAAAAGGGGCGTGGTCACCAAATTCTCAGGTATAACCAATAATTAAAATATCTCATGGGTTTGTCAGTGGTGTTGAAGCTGATTCCACAAAGCTGGATGTGGTCCAGTTCCACTGCTACGGAGATAAAATAATGTTCTATTGTAACAGGAATTACATTTCATTATTTTATGAGTAATATGCAAATACACATAGTATATACAATTATCAAATATCACATACCATTGTGCAATGGACACAACACTGCTCTCTTATCACATTCTGAAGAATTTGGTGACCACGCCCCCTTTTTAGAACAAAAGCTATTGAAGATTGATAATTAATCATAAAAATGTAACAAAGAGATAAATGCTGCAAACAAAGGTTGCAGTACTTAGATATGTTAATTATTGATTATAACTGAGATTTTGGTGACCACGCCCCTTTTAGAACAAAATTTATTGAAGATTGTGACACTTGTCATGTCAGGATGGCACTTATGAAGATGTTGGAGGAACAAAGTGCACACCCAGGGTGCAGGTTTATTTACATTGGACAGCATGTCATGCAACACTCTCTCTGTTCAGAGTTGGTGGCCTGCTTTTATAGCATATGACAGTAATTAAGCAATACTAACTGCAGCCCTACAGCAATAATTAAAGTAGTGCTTTTACACTCTTTTTATTATTATTATTTAAATTTACAAATGATTTATTTATTCTAAAACTATACTAAACTGGAAAGATAAAACCCAGGAAACCCCTCCACCCTCTCTGCAGAGTGGATGAACCCGGAATCCTCTTTAGGTGCTCCGGCTCCTCAGGACTTATTTGGCCGGAACGCCTAAAGAGGGCAGACAAGGGAGTAAAAGATAAGTATATTTAAATGTTGTACATTTATTCATTTTCCTTAACTCACACTCTTTTCCTTTACAGGTCCGCACCTTCACATACAAATCAATCTTTAATAAATGTTTTAAAACATTAGAGTCTGTCTAATTCATACTCCTGTTAACCCTCGTAAAGGACTCTTCTCCATTTATAAAAAGCCATTGAAGATTCAATCATAAAAAATATGAAAAAAGGTATTTCTGCTAAAAATAAAGGTTGTAGTAGTTAGATATTGTAGTTATTGATCATACCTGAGAATTTGGTGACCACGCCCCTTTTAGAAAAAAAGTTATTCAAGATTTGTAGTCATATTTCATCACAAAAAATATAAAGAGAAAAATACAAAAAACAAAGGTTGTAGTAGTTAGATATGGTAGTTATTGATTATATTTGAGAATTTGGTGACCACGCCCCTTTTTGAAAAAAAGTTATTCAAAATTCATATTCATATTTAATCATAAAAAATATAAAAAAGATATTTCTGCTGAAAACAAAAGTTGTAGTAGTTAGATATGGCAGTTATTGATGATACCTGAGAATTTGGTGACCACGCCCCTTTTTGAAAAAAAGTTATTCAAAAATCATATTCATATTTAATCATAAAAAATATAAAAAAGATATTTCTTCTGAAAACAAAAGTTGTAGTAGTTAGATATGGCAGTTATTGATCATACCTGAGAATTTGGTGACCACGCCCCTTTTTGAAAAAAGGTTATTCAAAAATCATATTCATATTTAATCATAAAAAATATAAAAAAGATATTTCTGCTGAAAACAAAAGTTGTAGTAGTTAGATATGGCAGTTATTGATGATACCTGAGAATTTGGTGACCACGCCCCTTTTTGAAAAAAAGTTATTCAAGATTTGTAGTCATATTTCATCATATTTAATCATAAAAATATAAAAAAGATATTTCTGCTGAAAACAAAAGTTGTAGTAGTTAGATATGGCAGTTATTGATGATACCTGAGAATTTGGTGACCACGCCCCTTTTTGAAAAAAAGTTATTCAAAAATCATATTCATATTTAATCATAAAAAATATAAAAAAGATATTTCTTCTGAAAACAAAAGTTGTAGTAGTTAGATATGGCAGTTATTGATGATACCTGAGAATTTGGTGACCACGCCCCTTTTTGAAAAAAAGTTATTCAAGATTTGTAGTCATATTTCATCATATTTAATCATAAAAATATAAAAAAGATATTTCTGCTGAAAACAAAAGTTGTAGTAGTTAGATATGGCAGTTATTGATGATACCTGAGAATTTGGTGACCACGCCCCTTTTTGAAAAAAAGTTATTCAAAAATCATATTCATATTTAATCATAAAAAATATAAAAAAGATATTTCTTTGAAAACAAAAGTTGTAGTAGTTAGATATGGCAGTTATTGATGATACCTGAGAATTTGGTGACCACGCCCCTCTTTGAAAAAAAGTTATTCAAAATTCATATTCATATTTTATCATAAAAAATATAAAAAAGATATTTCTGCTGAAAACAAAAGTTGTAGTAGTTAGATATGGCAGTTATTGATCATACCTGAGAATTTGGTGACCACGCCCCTCTTTGAAAACAAAGTTATTGAAAATTCATATTCATATTAAATCCTATTTATTCATAAAAAATACAAAAAAGAAACAAATGCTGAAAACAAAGGTTGTAGTAGTTAGATATGGTAGCTATTTATAGTATTTGAGAGTTTAGTGCGTGTACTTGGCTTAAAATAAAAACTATTGTTCGTTTACACAGCTGGTATTGGCATTTGTTGACGCTCCCTAAGTGCTTTTCTCGGCACTTGCGGCGCATTGGATTCAATGGATTTCTCTGCATTAAAACAGCGCATTGGATTAGAAAAATCGATGTTGTAGTAGTTAGCCCATGTAGAGGTGATCATTTTGGCACAATTACTTTCGTTTAACAACGTAGCTTTCGTAAGATATTCACCGCGGAAGTCCGAATCTGTGAATATCAAGCTAACTTTACCGAACTTCTTTGACGGAGCTATTTTGGTGACGGACCACCGAAAGGTTACGCGAGTAAAAAATATATTTTCATATCAAAATAAAATAACAACTATTGTAATACATCCATCATGGTTCCAAACATGAGTCTATTACGTTTTATTAAACTGTGACCGGACAGCTTACTCTAGAAAAAAGATTAATTTGTAACAACATAAACATGGGGAAGTCTGGCCTCCCATTCACAACATAGAAACAGCACTGTTAGGCTATAATAGTGCAATAATTGGTTGCCTGATGAACAACCATGATGACATACATACATGAAGGCAAATGAAATCAAACAGCTACCAAATTTGTTCCCATGAGCGTTTGAAGAATGACACAAACCTGAAGTTTACAGGCAATGATGTGATAAAGTGAATTATGTCCACAACACAAATGTATTCAAAATTTACCCTGACCTCCAAAAAATAAAAAATAAAAATTAATCCCATGTAATAAATAAAGCATTAGTTTTATGCTTTGTTTTTCAACGGATAATCCGGATAATTGATCTGCCATATGTTGACACTTGCAACCGTTCCAGTTTTAACAAAGGGAAATATAATTATCTCTAAAACCGTAGATCAACCTGTGAACTATTCTTCACAATGAAAAAAAAACCTATAAAAAAATAACAAAACCTAATTTTAATCCACATAACATTCAACTGATTAATATAGAAAAAATGTCTGAAAGGGGATGTAGTGAAAAACAAATACCAACAAAATGTTTTAAACTTTTTTGGATGTGGAATTCAAGAACACACTTTTTGGCATATAAGCAAGCTATAGTGATTACTATAGTGACAACAAACAGTTCTAGCTTATTTCTTCATTCTACAAATGACAGTTTCAGAAAAATGTCGCTGTCATGTAGCCACAGTCTATGGCCATCGCCTGCCTCCCAGGCCTGTAGTGTTTCTGCCTCCGGAGTCACGTTTATTATGGGGGTTCCAGGAACAGATTCAGTATCCTCTCAGCTGTTATTCTTCAAGTATCATTGCCTCTTGAAATGTCTCAATCCATCTAAATTTAAAATAATTAGCACAATTAAAATGTTTCAAAACAAATTAGAGCAACTTGTGTTTCAGTTTATTGATATTACCTTTGTGCAGTTGGTATGTCATCCGCTTTAAAGATGTAAAAAAGTGTGTTTTTGTGATACAACTTAAATTGCAGCTTCCGTGCAGGTCCATTCTTCTCCTCTCGCAGAAAGAAGCCTAGCAAAGGCTGACTCTCCAAAGCAGCAACGTCCTGCATTTATCATTGTATTAGTACAAACACATGTAATTAGGATTGTGTCAAAGTGGACACACAAAAAATGTACATACCTCACTGGCTGCATAGGTGTAAAGGACTTTATCTTTGACAACAAACCAAAGCCTTTTCCACTGCTTCTTGTTCCCTTTGGATCTGTTTAAGTAACCACTCATGGAAGAGTTCTCCGTATTAGCTGAAACCTGTGGGCATATTGGATAAATTGTATTGACAAAATGATGTAGAACAAACCCTTAACTGTTTGTTCAAATTAATTTCAATTTTGGCCAGTAAACTGTGGCTACAACCAGTGCCCAATATAATATAAATATTATTGATTCTGCCCTGGAGGTAAAGTGAACATCAGTGTTTGTCCGTCTGTGAGCAACATAACTCAAAAGGTTATGGGAGGATTTGTACAACATTTTCTAAGTCACTGTCGCTGATCACTGATGTAGAATTGCTAGAATCTCTGCCTCTAGGTCTGTACTTTACGAGTGCATGGGATTAAGCTACACACTTAGTTTAAGATTGAGGAAGATTAGGACAGATTTTGAAGACTGGCAAGACATTTTTGCAAGTAAAAATAATTATACCCCGTCCCCACCACCACCAACGCTTCTGTAATTGATTAAGTCTGCAGTAGACATGGAGTTAATCACTAGTTTACGATGTTTTTAATTTTAATACTGAAGGGTACCATATTCATATTTTGCATTCATATATATATGCTGCTTTAGAGTTCAAAATTATTTACTTGCTTTGTCATGTGTTCATGATCAAAGAATAGTTTTTTTATTCTTCTGAAAATACATGATTTACGGGGGGGATTTGTGTTTTATTTTCCCATAAACGCTTGATAGCCCAGTAATCGGCTGAGCAGAATCCCAACTTATTGTCAGCGCATTGACTCCAAAAAAATCTGATCAGTCAGCCAATATTTTGCACATTACAAAAACAAACCTCTTTTAGAGCAGCAGGGATCTTCTTCTGCTTTCTAGTGAAGGAAAACGCTCCAGCTTTTAATGGAGATATTGACGTTGATGCACAACGGTCTTCTACAGGTAAGAAACCAAACAATTTTGATTTAGATCTGGTATTCACAATAGTAATTAGGATGAGACATGCCACATACTGTTCTCTTGTAGTTTAGAAAAGCACTGGTCACAAACACGAGCGGGCTGGTTCTTCAAATACTCCAGGTAATACTTATTAGTGGAGCAGGCCTGACAAACCACCTTTTGCACAGAGTAGAGTGAAACTGGAATTACTTTTGGAAAAATTGCATTCCTTTTTGCATTGTATGATACGTACCTTGCCACAAGCTCGGCAGTGGTGCCTCCTCCAGGTCAGAGTGAATTCACAAGTACATATCATGCACATTGTTGCCCGCAGGTCCGGGATCCAAATAGGAGCTTTTGATCCCAGCAGAGCTCCATTGTCCACAGCTTCCTCAGCCTTAATAAATATAACATATATAACATAGATTAAGCGTTTCTTTCATATTTAAAGTAAAATATTTGGATTTTTTATTTCACAGTTGTACAAGTATATATAGTATACATGAACAGTTGGTCTTAAAGCTGCACTAACTGACTTTGGGATTTTGAAGCCGCGGACTCGCTGGCCTCGCTCTTTCTGCTCCCCTCCCCGCACCCACGAAGCTATCGCCCCCCCCACACACACCCACTGTTGGGACGGAGCTAGCGTCTCCCAATATGGATAATACATGAATATGGATTTGCATGTGGATGGCGTGACCATAGAACAATAGAACCGGGAAGCGCGGAGGAACGAGACTTTCTTTTGGATGGCTGTTTCGCTGTGAAAGCAGTAACCGGTGACGAAGACACACGAAGCTTCAGGTTAGCTCCTCGGCTTGTTGTGCTAACTCAGCTGTCTGTGCTAACGGACCTGTAGATTTCTCACGAAAGTGGGGGCCGGTGGTCCGCTGTGATTGGTCACAATCTGCGACTCGAAACACATCTCTTCCTTGTTTCATCAAAATTCAATCTAAAATATAATGTCACGGCAGCACAAATCTGCGCTACTTTTTCTTCAAAAGGACGTATATTCCAATGCACTACATGGACATGGATTTTCGTAATGAATGCAAAAATAAAGTCAGTTAGTACAGCTTTAAGTGTGTTGTACCTCCTCTTGGCTTCGACTTGATATGAATGTGATTTTCTTCTTCGTGTAATCATCTATGGCTGTAGCAATGGCTTCAAGCCACTCGTCTCTTTCTGAGGCCGAGCTAAAACAAGAGAAATGTTAAATGAAAAGTTATTAATTGTACAACTCTATCACCATTTTCAGTATTATATGACAAAAATATCCATACTTGGCTGATAGGATGAAAGATCGCTCCACACTCTCAATATTCAGCTCGTTCTGATAGGCCTCCTGGCTGGGTTTGCTCACCTACACAGGCAAGGAAGCAAGCCATCTTTATTCATACAGTGGATTTTATGGACCAGGGTCACACAAGTTTGGTTCATCCCAGAAATCATATGGAGCCCAATTACCTTCATTCCAGCTAATGACAGAATGCAGTTCAGTCTGTACTGCCCTGATTGGACTGGTGTGGTGTACATTAGGGCATCATTAAACTAAAGGAAAACACAGCAATGAGGACAAAAGCAATCAGTACATTTGTTGCATAAAAATACTCACCAAGAAAAACATTCGTGGCTGCATAATTTTGCGGGACAGCTTCATCAAAGTGCCCTCTTTTAGATAAATCTGAAATAAGGGAGTTAATTATTTAAAAAAAACAGAAGTAAAAAATGTAAAGTAAGTAAAATAATGATAATTGCTTACCCTTCCTGGTTGTACTATCTCATGCTGACCGTTGAGACTGTACTGGATTTGCATCAACTTTTGGAAGTTATCCTAAGAGAATTAAGGTCCATGTAATGTTTAAATTGTAAAAACAATAAGACAACCAAATACAAACCAAATCCTTACCCCTTGTTTCATGATGTCATTAGCGTGGTTGGCCACTTCTTTTACTATAAAAAGTGCAGCTGTATTGATATTGAAAGAACAATAGTTAGTCTTCTACGATGAAACCAAGGAAAAAAGCTGTAAACTATTCACCTTGAGTGTCTTTATGATCTTCTGAGTCAGCAGAGAGATTCTTCAGGTAATCTACGTACAAATCAATATAAATCAATAAATTAGATATTTTTCTGTAGGGACGTTTTTTAGTTTGTGAGCAGGTGAAAGTATGTGATAGACATATGGTTAGAAGGTTAAAATATAAATAAAATGATCACAAGTAAATAGATAAGACAAATAAGCGTTACCTGTGAGTAGAAGCTGGTACTGGGGAATACGCTGTACTGGTTTCAACAAGTAGTGTTTTAGAGCTAAATTTGCACATCTTGGACTCATCTGTGTAAAAATAAAGAAAAATACATTTACACTCTGAACAGCTTGTTCCATTTAAGCTGTTTTATTGAAAACCCCACAGTCTATTAACTGTAAAGTTGCAGAGCCCCAACCTCAAACTCCCGAACAACAGCCGCAAAGCCTGGGTTTTTCCGGCACTGTTCATCCAGCAGAGCCACATTGATGTCAAACTGCCGAATGTAGGTGGAGTACATTTTCAGATAAGGGCCCTTCTTGACAAAGATATCCGACAATCTCTGATGATCAGTCCTAAAGACACAGTAAATATTTAAAATATAAAAGATATATATTCATATTCACAAAAAAATCATGAATTACAACTGTAAAATGTGTTTACCAGTGAGCAACTCTCTCCTCCAGCTCTTTCAGCAGGTCTTTGTTCAGCTCATAGAGCTGAGGCAGATAATAGAGGATTTGATTGAGGATACGCTCGTCTACTATAGTCTTTCCATTGTGATGAGTTGCCTGGGCAACAGCTTCTCTAAAGTCCTAGAAAACATACAAGATTAAGGCTGGTGACATACACAGTACAACTAGAGATGAGAGCACATGGAGCAGCACGTAACATCCCAAAGGAGTTGTGCTTTGGTCATAGTGCAGTCACAATCACTACCAACATTTACATCCACCTGGAAGGAAGAGGCTATTCAGGATCCTTGACTTCACTAACTTTATCTCTCGGCCACATGTTACTCTATTTCAGTTTAATTTATTTTATGGTAGAGTACAAATGTAAGTTAGAGAGAGGCAATCGCAAGAGAAAATGATCATTTTCATGGGGGCACATGGACACAGTGGATTATCCATGGCATGTTAAAATCTAGATTTTCTGTGGTGCAAGGAAGCAGCTGCAGCCTGGAATCCACGAGAAAGAATGTACAAGAATGTCAATTGACCTTGTTCTTGACAGAGTGGTATATCTCACACTCGCAGGCCTAAAACCAACATTGAATGCCCGTAACCTTCAATTCATAAAGCAGCCCTATATTAAAAAAAGACATTAACGTCCCCAATTATGGACCTTGTTTTATCTGAGCCAAAGCGGAATAGAACTATCAGAATTGTAACCAGCATGGGCTGGCCAGTGTATAGTGTTGAACAGAATTTGCTAATCTTTGTAAACTGTTTGTATTTACAATTTCCACAACATTACAACTTCATTAGAATTGAGGTTGTTTCGAAATAGATGACATTAAAATATGTAAAAATGTATTTAACTAAAATATATACTCACAATATGAAGAAGCTTCAGGACATCCACAAACCTGAAAACATGTGGACGTACATTGACACACATCATTCATAAAAACTGGATTTGCAGTAATTTGTATTAAAAAAAAAATACATACACTTTTTCAGAACTCATGATCTCCTGAGCAATGTGCACCACCTTCTTGCGCTTAATTTCTTCTTCGAGCTAAAAAGATTAAAAAAATTATCCACATAGAACGCTATCAAAACTTAAAGGTACTGATTAAATGTTACCTGTCGGTCCACTTCGTTCATGTGCTCTTTGCTGGATGTTGAACTGTTATCTTCTTCCTCTGAGCTGTGGATTTGATCTTCTTCAGAGTGGACATTCTGCTCCAGCCAACCACTTCTTGATTACACAAAAAGCATTAGCTGATAATAAAAGTTTAAAACAGATCCCCCTATTTAATATCATGATGATTCTATACACCAAGCCGAGCTGATTGGGCTGATTGTTTTAATTTTATATAATTTTATCGACCCTGTGAAGCACTCACTCCTTTTTCACAAAGGCGTAAAATTATATTATTCCCGCCAATCTGATTATTTGTCTTTCTCAACAGCTAAACCAACAATTGTGGGAAAACCAGTTAAACTCCAGAAGAAAGGTCTTCTTGCTTTCAGATTGAGTTTTTTTTTCCTCTTCCGTATTTTGTCTCCTGACAGTTTCTTTCACCTAAAATTCAATACACGTTCTCTTCGAAAGCATTCCAACATACTGGGTCAGGCACAGAGCTCTACTTGTTTACAGCCTGAAGCTAGATAAACACAACAGGCTCAGATGCCTGGGAAACACTACACGTGGACACTTTCCAACCACGACATACCAAAAACAAATAAGATATTTACTATACTTTCATTGTTTCATCACATTACTGCCTCTAAACTACACAAGTAGATAAAAGATGGTGGCAACAAATTCAACAAACATGCTCTCATGGGAGATGTGTCTTCATTTATCATTTTAACATGTTGCACACTTCAAGTCTTTTTGCACATGAGTGATTATATCTGTGCTGAATGTGAGATGTGAATTTCTCCATTGTGAGATCAATAAAGTTTAACTTATCTTATCTTATAGCTTGATAATGATAGTAGCCCCAGGCCTAAGAATTCCTTTTCTGTTACATTCAGGGCCAAATTGTGCATTGTCATAATATTAAATATTGTCAAAAATATAAAAACGTAATAGTGTTTTGTCCGTGTTCATTTATCAAATTCAATATCCATTTCAATGACACAGAAGTTGCAAACTCAATTTTATCTTAAAAAACACAGAAGGAGAAAGGAAAGGGACTGTGTTGGAGTAGAGGTAAAACATGGTCCAAGAGTGGGTAGCATGAGAAGGAGGAGGTTGGCAGTTACTAGAAGTTTATTTTCCCTGTTCTCAGGAGCTGTGTGGTGTTTCTGCGATTCTCAGACATTTCCTGCTGTAGCCACTGAAAATAACCCACAGGAAAACAGACTGACCTGCTGCACATATGCTCTATTCATATCCAATGCCTTTGTTGCCAAAGGTTGACTTTCACACAACTGTAAATAAATACATAAACATCATCATGATGCACTTAGATGCACCAACCCATCTGGCCTGTCATTCTAAGCAGCTGACTGACAACATTTCATCCAATGAAGAGTGACAAAATATGTGGTGTGTAGACATTAGAACATACATCCACTGCCTGTCCACATTGTTCAATACCTTTCGTAGTCGGTGTCATGGCATCTATGGTAGGGATCTTGCACTTCATAGATGTCATCCACGTCACTATCAGGCCATCCTGGTCCTGCACTGTGAAACGGGAGGTTCATGTATTCTGGAATCTCCTCATACAAAGGTACATTCTCATACTCTGCAGACCCCTCTCCGTCTTCCTGTACATCCTCAATACAAGTATTAGTCTTCTCTAGTTGTTTTTCTGTGTATTTTGACTCCACATCTAGAGAGCCCTTTGTTAGGAGTTTGGGGAGCATCTTTACCGAAAGTCTTAATTCAATAAGCTTTCGAAAAGACAGGGTTCTCCGCTGGGGGTCCAATCGAGTTGCCAGGTCAGCTGCAGAAAAAGACTGTGCCCTCTGCTTGCTGCCAATTATCGGGACACGACTTTTTAATGGCATGCTGCACCGAGAGGGAACCTGTCGGCTAAAGAAAGTCACAGATGGTCGGCTAAATCTCCAAGCAGATTTCTCTTGCGGTGGAGCAGGTAGATCTCTCATAGGGGCACATGCATGTGAAGGTGCAGGAGGTGCAGGGGGGCAGCAGGATGGAGGAGGTGGCACAGGCAAGCTGTGTCTCTGAGGTTTTCTGGGTGGCGGCGCCTTAGGTGCTCTTGGTATCGGATCCTCTGCAGAAAAGGCTCTTCTTTCTAAATGATTCTGGCTTCCAAGTTTGACCTGTTTTGGAAGACTATGAGTGATGGGGTAGCGTGCAAAATCTCCATAACCATCTTCCTCATTGTCGAGAGTCTGAAGCAGCTTTACCTTTTCGTCAGGCTGTATTAACAGTTCTAGAGACTTGGATGTATTTTTGCGAAGTGTGAGGTGTACTGCTCTATGGAAGCTGTGAGACAAGGAGGTTTGCCGAGGGGGAGGGACAGGAGCCTCTGGCTCGCTGACTACATCACACCTGTGTAGTTTCCCATTTATGTCATGTGAACATGTTTCTACTTCTAAACCTACAGTGCAATATGTTGATGAATTTCCCTCAATCTCTTCCCTTTGACCATTTGGCTGTTCCTCTTGATTGAAGGTATCAGTTTCCACACCATCTTGCCTCACAAGTTCTGGTTTCTTGAGTTTACGTGGCTGAGGGACTGGCAGAGGTTTACTTGGGGGATCTGGGACTTCCGAATAAGGATGCAACTTCAAAGGTGATTCCTCATTTCCTTCCACAATGTCTGGCACGGCAGAACTATACACCTGTGTGACTGTTGATGATACTTCTGCAGACGTAGATATTAATGTAGTTTGTTGTGGGGTAATTTCATGGGTTTCACCAACAGGATGTTTTCTAATTTTGTCGTGTTTGCAACTCTTTTGACCATTAATGTCCAAATCCAGAATGTTTATGTTGTGATTTACACCTGGTTTAAAGGAGTATTTCTGTCTTTGAGGTTTGTCTTTTAGTCTTTTCTGAATACCCTCACTTAGATCCTTCTCCACAACTTCTGCTTCGTCCTGCTTTTCTTGGAGCCTTGAACCACATCCCTCTGAAAAAATACCATTCAGCAAGATGTCTTTGTGCAAATCTTTCACAGGCTCGATGGTATTTTCATTTTGGACATCTTTGCAATGGGAACAGACCTGTGGTCCGCACAAGCAGGAGGAAATTATATAATCTGGTTCTCCATCATCAGTCACGTTAAGCTGATAATCGTTGTCTTCTAATGTTTTAGTTTGGTCCGGCGTAGTTTGAAGTCCACTGGTTCTGTTTGAAATGGATAGTGATGAAGTAGATTTGGAAATACAGGGTTTAGGGGCAACGGCTGGCTTGGGCCTCTTGAGGGTAGATGGGGATGGCTGAGAAATAGGAGGTTTTGGAGCAATGGGTGGGGGGCATGGCTTGTTAGAGACATGGAGCTTAGGTTTGGGAGCTAAAGGAGGTTTTTTCACACCTGTGTGAAAGTAGAACAAAAATTGTTAGAAAGTATATATTTTATAGACGAAAACAATATATACATGCAAATCTCAATTAAATACAATATGCATGCATCTAATTGTCAAGAAGAAACATAGGAAGCACTCCAAAACTCCAGTGCTAACTGGCATTTGTTTCAGACTAATGTCCAAATGTTATCGTCCCTGTTTTGTCCCTGGTTGTCCTCTATATTTAGGACCCTGTCCATAATTTCACGTTTTTCACAATATTGTGCACCCTTGGTACACATATGAATTGCAATACGATGTAATATCACGAGTTCACCAAATATAACGGAAAAGTTCAGATCTATCAAAGTCGGTAGATGTGTAAGAGTTATGGGTCATTTTTCCGCTCTTCTGATTACTACTCCATGGATCTCATGGCTGACCATCACCATCAAGCGGGTGTTTCCGATCTGGGAAAAGCAATATGTGCAGGGAATAGTACAGCTGTGCAGAATGTAGCGGACAGGCGTCGGTTATTACAAAGTAACAGCAGGCAGATACAACAGCAACATTAAACGCATACGGATGGCAATTGGGTCGAACTTTACTTTACTCTCGAAGGCTACCCCTCAGCAACTTTCACTCGGTCCGAGGCAGATGTAGCGTTACAAGACAAAACAAAGGACACAGTAACTTCCAACTGTTAACTCACCCAACGCAAGAGAACAACACACGAAATAACAACGGGGAATCCTCACATCAAATATTTAGGTTATGGGTTAATGCAATACGATATATTTTTTACGGGATAGCACCAGAGTTGGCCGCGTTTAAATCAATCTAGTAAGTTAGGCGAATTGTGTGTATTCTAATGTTTTTTCGTGTATAGGATGTGTTATAAACCCTGCATTAATCTAAAGAGTTTGCACCAGTCCTTTTTAAACAAACCTGTGCTCATGACTCCTTTATCCATGAGTTACTGGAGTTTCAGGAGAATTGCAAGAAAAGAAAAACGTATTCTCTTTCCTCCTCGACATTATGGTCAGTAAAAAAACAAAATCAAGTTGAACCCGGTCAAATCCATAACAGATTATTCTCCATCTGCACCGCAGAAAAAAAGTATCACAGTTTCACCATTTTTGTAACTTTTCAGCCACGGTGCTTTTTCCTAACAACCGTGAGAGTCAAGTTAACGCTGACATACATCCGGCACGATATATGTTTACTGTTTTGTGGACTCTTCGCAAAGTCACTTCAATTAGCACCAAAATACAATCTCCATGCCTTATTCATTTATATATATCCACATGACGCATTATGAACTGGTAAAATAACTGTTTTTCATAAATTATTTTATTTTGAAATATTTTCATGGAACTTTGACCGGTCGTGAAGCGTTATCAACACTAGGAGTGCTAGACTCTACCATTATTTCCAAAGACGCACTTTCAATATACTGAAGTTGTATTTTGTATGACATTGCTGGTATTCTTTTGTTTACATAATTTCCCCATAAATTAAATATGAAAATGAAAATGACGTGCTTTGTATTTTTGTGCTTCAGTCCCCTAACATCTGGCGTGTGACGTACACAGAGCAAATATATGAGAACGCTGGGAAATGTAGTTTCGACAAACAGCATATGGCTAAAAGCTAGCTATCAACTTCAAGCGGAGTTCCGATGATATCCTGCAACTTCTGTTCAGAAAATGGGCTGTGTGTAGATGGCTGGCAGCAATGACTGATGAGTTTGATGAAGATGTTGTGTTTGAGGTATGTAGCTTTACCTCTATGTTAGATTATGAATTCGAAACGGAGGTAGCAAATTATTTTTAGCTAAATATACAGCATTGAACCGTAGAATGTGTGCAACTAGCGTTAACTAGTAACGAGTGTAGTTTGCAAAAGCTAGCCTGAGGTTGGGGTGAAGGCTAGCGTTAGATGTGCTGCCAGTTTTTTATTGCTCCATTCAGATCATATCCACACGTTTGGTCATAAGGAGATTTTGTAGTCATGTGGAACGCTTAGCTGCCCCTGGTACTGTTTTATTTCATAATCACTGGGACTGCAATTGTTGTGGTGGGAGGGAGGTGGTGGTGAGGAGGGCGTTTGTGACCAGTCTGATCTCAAACAATAAAATCTATCTTAGCAATACCTGGCTGTAGTGCGTGTTGATATCATGGCCAATTGCTTGCTCTGAGAATGAAAGTGAGTAGCTCTATATATACATTATTTTGTTATTTGTTTCTGTGACCTGGTGAGTTACTGTTACTACTTCAGAAATATTCATCTTGTAGCATCTTTTTGCAATTTGTAGTGTTTATTTTGCATTACATTTAATGCCTGATGCCTTTTATCTCTATAGAATTCACCACTATTTCAATACCTACATGATTTGGGCCATACAGACTTTGAAGCATGTCCAATTGCAACCCATGAAGAGGAGGACCTTTCAACCGATAGAAAACAACATTCGGTAAGAGTTTAGCAATTAAGAGTGAATCAATATTTTAAACTGTTGTGTATTTCAACAATACACATGTGTAATTGAATACAAAAATTACTTGCATACCAGGAATACCAATGTAATTACTAATTTGTATTATAATTGTAGCAATAAGCCAATATAGCAGACCTTTTTGGCAGGTTGCCTAAATCTATATACATATTGCTAGATAATACTATAATTTACATTAAGCTGAGCGGAGTAAATGTAATGGTATATATAATAGTAGATTTTTCATTTTCCAAATGTTAGTAACCCCTATTTATAATATGTGTTTCAAATACCTACACTGGCATCATCACATGGCTCCCTTCTGAATCATTAATGGTCATATATAATGCTTTCCTGCCTTTCAAGACACCTACTTAACATAAACAAACTACTCATTTACAGACACAAATCATGTGTATGCAGACACAGTTAAGTGTCTTACCTTAGGACACAACAGCACATTCATCGATAAGAGCTAGCATCACAACTGCCAACCTGTGGAAAAGTGGTCCACATGTGACTGCTCTACCAGTGATGTGACATGCTCTACAAACTGAGCTTCTGTCGGCAACAGACTGAAATTAACTGATTTGCTTAATTGATTTTATGTGGAGAAGCGGGGGAATTTTTGGAGACTAGCCGATGTCATATGGCAATGGACTCCGTTTCACCAGGCTGTCACAATCCAAAATCTGCAACAACAGCTGGTATGTTATGTCAGGACATCTTCATTTTCTCCAGTGTTACACCTGAAGAATTTACCAGAGTATTTCCAAATCACAGTAATTTAGTTCAATATCTATTATTGAAACAAGTTGGAAGATAAATTATAAATGAAATGTTCTTTATTGACAGGACAATGTATTTGGCCAATATTCTGTGCGATGCATTTTGGACCAGGATGTCCTTCTGCAAGAAGATGTGGAGCTGATTGAGCTTTTGGACCCAGGCCTCCTCACATTAGTGTCGTCACCAAATAGTTTGGACAGCCGAGCAAGGACCATTCCTAAGCCAAGCTTTCTTTTCAAACCTTCAATCTGGTAAATGCTTAATTGATACATAAAATAATGTACGTACATTCCTGCATGTACATTGTATTATCATGAGGGAAAAGTGATAGATACCTGAAAATATTATGTATTTTTTATGGCAAAAAGCTACACAACACATGTTGTGAGGAGTTGTGTTAAACTGTTCCTAATCCATCCCTGTTATGAATAAATGCCATGACAGTCATGAGACATCCCTGCAAATCACTGAGATTCACAAAGTTGCTGGAGATGTGCTTCACTTATTTACCGGCCAGAAAATTAGATTTGATGGATTTAGTACGTAACATATAACTATAGCGTAATACATGTGTATAGCTTAAAGCTGCACTAACTGACTTTGAGACATTTTAGGATGAAAGCGTTGGCCTCGCTCTCTCTGCTCGACCTCCCCGCACGGCGCATTCGCCCCCTTCCCCCTCAGCCTGTGCTCATGTGCTGTTGTTAGCTTTGGAGCTAGCGTCTCACAATATGGGTCGCACATTTGAACGTGGATGGCGTGACCATAGAATGACAGAACCGGGAAGCGCGGAGAGGACAAGACTTTCTTTTGGATGGCTGTTTTGCTGTGTAAGCTGTAACGAAGACAAGGGAAGCTTTAGGTTAGCCTCCGCCGCTTGTTTACCTCAGCTGTCTGTGCTAACGAGAGACCTGTGGCTTTGCTCAGTGGTCCGCTGTGATTGGTCACAATTTAGACCCGAAACACATTCTCTTCCTTGTTTCACCAAAACTCGATCTAAAATATAATGTCACGCCAGCACAAACCTGCGCTACTTATTCTTCAAAAGGACGTATATCCCAATGCACTGCATGGATATGGATTGCATTTTCGTAATGAATGCAAAAATAAAGTCAGTTAGTGCAGCTTTAACGTACTTACTAGGGCTGCATAATATATGGAAAAAATATCGTTATTGCGATATTGGTGCATGCGATATCCATATCGAAAATATGTGCAAAAATAATAAAACATTTTTTTTCCTTTTATTAAAGACAACAAAACAGACAGACACATCAACATTCAACAAATACAACAAACAAACATGCAGTATGCATTTGAATCTCATGTTTTTGTTATGTTGAAAAACATTTTGCAATAATATCGTTATCGCAATACTAAACACTCATATCAAATATCGCTCTAATTTCCAATATGTGAAGCCCTAGTACTTACAACGGAACTATTTTTTATAAAAATAATGCATAAAGTGAGATAATGAACCATTGAACTGATCATTGACTGAATTTAATAGACTTTATTTTGTTGATCCTCCATTAGGGACCTTGTGGGGCTTGTAGGCCTTGCTGCAGTTTTGTGCAGTGTGTGCTCTGATGGCACGTGGTCTCTAGCAGCAGTGCCATGGAGCCTGGCTCTGCTGACCTGGGTTGGTCTGAAAGGGAGTGTCTTGTGGAGACGGGGACGCATGCAGAAGGCCGTCTACATGAGAGCCACAGAGATCCAGGCACTTGTCCATAACGGCAAAACATTAACCGGACTGTGCCGTAAAGCACTCCGACTTGTCCAAGAGACTGAAGTCATCTCCCGGGGATTCACCCTGTGAGTATGTAGTGTTGGATATTTTACTCTCAGAGCAGAGGTGTATTGTAGCAAAGCAACATGGCTAGTAATTTATTTATAATGCCAGTGCCTTGATTAACTGAAGTCTGCTATAAGTAGAAAAGCTCTCTTGAGAGTGCCTTCACTAAGAGGTGCAGTTCCAGTTCTTTATAATAAGATCCTGGATCCAGAAATCAATATAGAAAAAAAAATCTTGTCTGCTTCTATAGATTTGCTATAGATTTTCTATAGATTTTCTGACAATATCATAACCATCTGCCCATTACTTTTTGAGTTCTGTTGCCAAATAACAAATCAAAGAACCCTGACAACATAACCCCTGATGGAGGTATCAGAGGTATCAAATTTTTTACATTTTATTTTTCCCAATTATAGTTACGCTGCATACAATTATAGAATATGAGGTAATGATTGCTTGAATCAAGTGTTTTTTAAAAGCTTAATTGGAGTACGTTCTGTCTTAAAAACAATATTTGCAGATGGGACAAGCCATTTACTCTGTCCCACAGTCAAAATGTGCTCAAATTAAGATGCATTTTTGCCAAATGTGAGCATTTCTTGACTGATCTTTCATCAAATTTTGCAGTGTAATTCAGTGAAATTGTTATACATTTTAAAGTATTTTGTATATTTCCTACTTTGGCACATTTTTACAGTTGTATCACATTTCACTTGTGAAGTTTACTCGACAGGGTGAGTGCAGCTAGCACATTTAGCAGGGCAACGCCAGGAACAGTGCCGCGTGGGCAGCAGCTGATTGGACTGAGGAAGACCTTGTACAGGGTTCTCCGGTCAGCTTTCAGGGCCTCTCGTAGAGCTACCTGTCACATGCTCAAAGCATATCCTTTTATAAGAACGAGTTGTTGTGTTGTATCTAGATTCTAGACACATGCGATTTACATACAACATATGTGTTGCCTCAAGACCTTAACCCCTCTGAACCTTCCCTCTGAATTCTGAAATTGACAATGTAACCAATTACGTTTCTGCGGTTCCACTGAAAGAGCTTGGACTGGGTCTGGGACTCGAGCACTTAGGGGACGAACAAGCCCAGGAGCTGACCGATGACTATAGCCTCCCTGCCCTAAAGGTAAATTGTTATTAAGATAATACCCACTACTTAATCTGCTAAATTATGGTCCTTTTAAATCATGCTATTAAGAACGACAAATGTGTAAGAAAAAATTACAGTACAGTACAAGTCAGTATTGTCTGAATCTACACTATTGTAAGATGTTTTAAAGCAAATCATAAGTAAAGTTTTCTTTACTTTTCCACTCAATGTGTATAGTAAAAGTAAACCTTATAAGAAAGGCAAAAACATAAGAGCTTACAAAATTACCCTATTTTTATAGAGGTCTCTGACACTACTTATTAGTGGTGTTAAGTTTATATCTACAATAGTTTAAACTTCGTGCTTGTGAATAAAACAGTGGCACTGAAGTGTATGGTTTGCTTTTGTACTCTTCCCTGCAGATGCTTTTTCAATTGTGGCTGGGACAAAGTTCAGAATGTTTTCGACGTCTTGCCCTCCTTTTGTCACCCCAACAAGTAAAGGAGCTTGAAGAAAATAGAGCCAAAGAAGTACTTATCCCTGCGTCCCCACTTTATCAGACTATTTCTGCAGTGACTGAACCTCTTCACCACACACTTGATAACGCTCTCTGTGACATGCAACGCAGCTATGATTTCCATCGCCATTTTGAGACACAGACAAGAGAGGCTGTATCTCACAGAGCTGGAAGAGCCAAAGAGAAATGTAGAGACCTCAACACTTTACATACATCTATTCGAAGTCTGCAATTGCATCTCAAGACAATGCTTAGCGAGTGAGACACTTTAAAAAATGAATTCCTTAGCAGCAGTCTTTTGATTGTTTTTTGATAACCTTAATTTGTCGAGTCAGGATGATTATTCTTGAAGATGATCTGGAAAAAATGATGGTTTCTGAAGAACCCACGGAGAGGTTATTTGAAGCCTATCAGGACCTTAGTGACCGGCTTCACCAACTCCAGCCACATATGCAGGCGAGCACAGGCTGCTGGGATGACACCATTGGCCAATTAGGTCGCATCCTGAAACGTGCTGACGTCAGTTCACGTAAGAAGCCTTCTGATAATTATTATTTTAGCGTTACTGCAAAAATAGTCCATTGCTTAAAAGGTTTTATGTAGTTTTTAACTTTTGTCTTTCTCAGGGGATACTGAAGATGCGAGGCAATGTTGTCCACCTACGTATGATATTGCCAATCTCCCTCTATCCTATCCTATAATTCTTGACAAAGACCCAGTCCCAGAAGAATTGGTGAGTTCTTTGTTCTGAACTACTTGGATTCATACTAATTATCTTTCTAAATTGTCACTTATCTGACATACAGCATGTATCCGAAAGAATAACATTGTTTCCATCTCTGTTGCTGAATAGGAATGGGAGGCGTATGTGTCTGACTCAGATACAGACAGTGAAGAGAGAGGATCTTGGTGTGATATGTTATCTCCAGAGGAACGCGAGCGTCAGCGCCGGGAAAGAGAGGAATCACGTCGTGTCCTGTCAGAGCTTAAATCTGTACTATGTTTCCGTGCTTCGGAGGGGGAGAGGATGAAGAGGAAACAGCTGTTGTTCAATGATCAAGGTAATGGGAAATGTGTGGCAATACAAATTTCATGATTGAAGAAAACTCTAAATTAAATTTAAATTTAGAGATAGTTGTTTTTACCAAATTTGAATCTATGCTTTTTGCTTGCTATTTCCCTTCTTGCAGCTGCTGAGACACTTGCAACCAGCAGTGAAACTTCAGATTCAACAGCTTCTACTCCTAAACCTACAGTGACCTTAATTTCAGTGGAATCTCTAGATCCTGGTAGAGAAGAAAAGCACCTCGAGCTCACCATTGCACACATTCAAGAGGAAGAAAGAGATGACGCAGCAGGACCTGACCCGTCAGAGACACCAGTGAAGGAGTTCACTTGTGGTGCAGAGCCAGGGGAAGAGCACACAACCCAGGGGTTAGTATGCAAAAGAGGGGGAGGAGGGGCATCTGAGCACCACCAATATGATGGAGTCACAGTGGAAGAAGGGGACCAAAATAGTCTTGGAAACTTCCTTAAAGATAAAGTACCAACTGTTTCAGTCATGGATCGGCTGACTGAGATCCACGGCTCGCAGGCTCTAAGCTTCAGCTCAGCCTTAGCGTCACAAGTTGCAGCACGGTCGCGTTCATTAATGACAATGGAAGAGCAAACTTTTGGAGATGACGATGATGAAAACGAAGAGGATGATGTAAATGAAGATTAAAGTGACCACAATATATAACTTTAAACTACTTCATGTCATGACAAAGAATGTATCCATGTTTTATTGTCTCATTAACTTAACTGTCCAATGCCTTTTCAAAACCAATACAACCTATCAAACTCAGGTAAAGCAACTCGTAAACTATATAAAAAAAAAAAACATGGGGGAGAATGATAAAACAAACATGGAACTACTGTTCTTAATTAAGTCTATAAACTCTAAATATTTGCTGAATAAATTATTGAAGATTCGGCCAATAACTCAATAATTTTGTTTTTTTCCGCCAGACTCTGAGATTGAAGTCAGAATATTTTGAAATTAAAGTTGAAATATGAATAATGTTGAATTATGATGAGATATTATTACATTAATCTCGAAATATTTTTAGGCAAAATTGCAAATCTAACCATGGTTAAAAACGTTAAAAGTCAGTTGGGCTGTGATCCCCTGGGTCTGCGCTGCAGTTTTCTCCCGTGGTCCGCAGGTCTCCCATGGATCTATTGAGGTCTCCCCCTGGGTCGGTGTTGCAGTCAGTTCTCTCTACGAGGTCCAACGGACTCTTCCGAGGTCCGGGCTCAAAATATTTTTAGATTAATTTAATAACATTTTGACTTTAAAGTAAAAATAGGATGACTTTAATCTCATGGGGTCTGGCAAAAAAGAAATAAAATCTGTTAACCATTATGTACACTCCTTTGTACTACGGTGCGGTACGACCAGGCTAGCGCTGTCGTGGAACCATAGATCCATGCGTGGAACTTTCAAAACTAGTCTGGATTTTTTTCCCCAACATAAGGTCTTTGTAAATGACACCGGACTGGATAGACGACGGATTATCAGGAGTTGTGAACACAGCTTAACAGGGGTGGGAATAAAAATAAATAAACTATTTTACAACAAACGCACGCACGCACACACTGCATGTTGTGTTCTGTGGGTGACCCGGGCCATCACACAATGTCCTCCACTAATTTTCATTAGAGAAATGAAAATTGGTGAGCTCTTTTTGCTAATGATTCTGCTGTATGAAATAAAATGTGTGTGTAATGCTGTGCACAAATGTACTAAAATTTGTGAAACATTCAAGGTAGAAGAAACCTGTTCGGTAGGAAATATACCATAGAGGTTTTGTTTATGCACTTACAATGTACACACGGCATACTGCTTTCTTTGGACACACTTGCACCACTAGTATTCCTAATCTATAATTAAATGTATCTTAGAGAGAGAACGCCAATAATTTGATGTACAGTGCATCCGGAAAGTATTCACAGCGCTCCAAATGACTCCAAATCAGGTCAGGATCATAGTCATAGGGTAATCATAGGGTAATCATAGGGTACACCTCTTTTTTTGTCATTTAGATTTTTTTAAGTATTTTTAATGAATTTTTATATGTAAATATTAGCATTTTAGCTCAATAGCTTCCAGGTCATGTGACCTATTGACTCCAAATCAGTTTAGGATCCTAGTCATCCACTAGCTGCAGGGGGTACACCTCTTTTTTGTCATTAAAATGTTTTAAGAATTTTTAATGAATTTTTAAAGGCAAATATTAGCATTTTAGCTCAATAGCTTCCAGGTCATGTGACCTATTGACTCCAAATCAGGTCAGGATCATAGTCCTCCACTAGCTGCAGGGGGTACACCTCTTATTTTATCATTAAAATGTTTTAAGTATTTTTAATAAATTTTTAAAGTCAAATATTAGCATTTTAGCTCAATAGCTTCCAGGTCATGTGACCTATTGACTCCAAATCAGGTCAGGATCATAGTCCTCCACTAGCTGCAGGGGGTACACCTCTTCTTTTATCATTAAAGTGTTTTAAGAATGTTTAATACATTTTTACAGTCAAATATTAGCATTTTAGCTCAATAGCTTCCAGGTCATGTGACCTATTGACTCCAAATCAGGTCAGGATCATAGTCCTCCACTAGCTGCAGGGGGTACACCTCTTCTTTTATCATTAAAATGTTGTAAGTATTTTTTAATGATTTTTTATATGTAAATATTAGACCAGCGTACATGTCTCCGCGTGTTTACCGTACTGTGTGTAGTAGGGGTGCACTAAAATGTTGGAGCGGCTTTCGAGTCGCTCTGAACCCAGAGAGAAGGAGAGGTGTACCGAGAGGGAATGACCGTTGAATGTCTGTCGGATATCCAACTTCAAACTAACTTCACCGCGGTGCATCATAGTCAAAAAGACTTGAGGCTGTAATTGCTGCCAAAGGTGCATCAACAAAGTATTTAGCTAAAGCTGTGAATACTTATGTACATGTTTCTTAGTTTTTTTTTATTTTTAATAAATTTGCAAGAATCTTAACTTTTTTCATGCTGTCATTATGGAATGTTGTGTGTAGAATTGTGGCGGGGGGAAAAAATTAATTGTATCAATTTTGGAATAAGCCTTGTAACATAAATGTTGAAAAAGTGAAGCGCTGTACTTCCGGATGCACTGCACGTTTCAAATTTAGATCTTGTGTTGTATACAAAATACCGTGGTACAAGTTCGCTCATGCCAAGAAGGTGACGAGTTCGAGTCCCGTGTCAGTAACTCATAAGATGAATAAATGGGTGAAGTTGATGGTGAGAGGCAAATGGTGCAAAACCCGCTCACTGCCGACTAATATAAACTCGTGTGGGTTTGGCTGCTCAGATCCGTCTCTCCGTATTTAAACCACTTTATAGAGATGTCATGCTCGTACCCTCATCATGCAGTTTTGAAAAATAGCCACCTGATGGCGCCATTTATGCTTTTTTTTTTTTTTTTTTTTTTTTAGTATTTCGAAACAGTGTCTCGGTTAAAAACAGGTGATTCCAAATGTTTCAGTGGTTAATTTAGTCTCCGTCACTTTCACTACAGGCTACGCACATAAACATGTTCTAAGTTTAACCCAGACGTGCTCATTGCAATCCTCCCAAAACATTTACTGATGTTAATTGTTGGTGTAGCAGTTTGAGCTTCGACTGGCGTCGCGCACAGAACTCCCACAATCCTCTGCGCGTCCGTCCCTTTTCGTGCTCGTAATCATGGCGGCCGTGGTGGCAGAGCGTGCTGCGGACCAGAAAGTCCCGAATCTGGAGCTAAATGGTCGAGAGGAGGAGAAAGAAGAGGCCGACCCGGTTGAGGAGACTACCAAGAAGAAGAAGAAAAAGAAGAAGAAAAAGGCACCAACTACAGGTTTGTTATCGGACCTGGAAAAGCTCGCATGCTAACACTGCTAATGTAACTTCATGCGGAGGTGGAGAGACAGCACTCAAAACATGCGTTACTAAACACAATGATTGACAATAGTATGTATTCTAATGTGTACAACGACTTAACTCTTGCACTTCAAATGTGACAGCCTTGAACAGCTGCACGGTTATTGTGGGAATCACAGCACAGCATCAAGTGTCAACTTGTCTCATATCCATGTCAGCAATCAGGGTGTCGTTACATATACAGTCAATGGTCGTTACATATACAGTCAATGGTCGTTACATATACAGTCAATGGTCGTTACATATACAGTCAATGGTCGTTACATATACAGTCAATGGTCGTTACATATACAGTCAATGGTCGTTACATATACAGTCAATGGTCGTTACATATACAGTCAATGGTCGTTACATATACAGTCAATGGTCGTTACATATACAGTCAATGGTCGTTACATATACAGTCAATGGTCGTTACATATACAGTCAATGGTCGTTACATATACAGTCAATGGTCGTTACATATACAGTCAATGGTCGTTACATATACAGTCAATGGTCGTTACATATACAGTCAATGGTCGTTACATATACAGTCAATGGTCGTTACATATACAGTCTATGGTCGTTACCCAACTCGGTGAAAAATTAAAATAAATATGAAAATGGTTATGGGAGTAGCAGCTGGTGTCATATCTGGCGATGATTGTCTATTTTAGAATTGCAAAGTGAAAACTGAGAATAGTCGGCCTGAATGAAACTGTTTGCGCAGGTCCTGAGGCAGATGGCCAGGATGCTGTCACAGAAGTGACCAAGCTGCTCGACAAACATGCCATTGAAGATGAGGAGGGGGATGAAGGTATTTGAACCAGTTTTACAACTGCATATTGCCTTTAAGGGAAAGCAAGCGTGTAATAACATTTTGGATGTAAACTGTTTTCTTCCTGAAAGATGCAGATGATGACACCTCAGGGAAGAAGAAGAAGAAAAAGAAAAAGAAGAAAGGATGTATGTAAAAGTAACAAAAATAACTTGGTTCAAAGCCTTGGCATGAACATTTTAATGATTGTCTTTCCTTTTTAGCCAAAGCACAAACTGATCCACCATCTGTGCCAATTTGTGAACTGTACCCAAATGGAGCATATCCAATTGGACAAATGTGTGACTACCAAGTACCACAAGATGGGTAAGATCATAGTAGTCAAGGCTAATCTGGTATATTTTTTCTGCTTAAGGTAAATACAACGCTCTAACTTCTTTCTTTTTTTTTCAGCCGCAGTGCTGTTTGGCGAATGACCAATGAGGAGAGGAAGGTCCTGGATCAAGCCAATGAAGATATGTGGAATGATTTTAGACAAGCTGCTGAGGCCCACAGACAGGTGCGACAGCATGTGCAGGGTTTCATTAAACCTGGCTTGACTATGATTGAAATCTGGTAAGTCAACTACCCATTTTATTACAATATTAGTATGTTTTCCATTTGTCTGATAATTTATGATACTACAGTGAACGTCTGGAAGGCTGTTCGCGCAAGCTGATAAAGGAGAATGGGCTGAACGCGGGTCTCGCTTTCCCAACTGGCTGCTCTCTCAACCATTGTGCTGCCCACTACACTCCCAATGCTGGAGACACCACTGTTCTTCAGTATGATGATGTCTGCAAAATTGACTTTGGCACCCATATCAATGGTATTGACCCTCTGATTTAAAAAAAAAAAAAAAAAAAAAAATATACAGTTACAATTATTACAGTATTCAGATCAATGATTATTTAGTTAAGCAATTTTAGATCACAAATAATCAGACTCTTGAATTTGACTAAAACAAAGCTTAAGTGATGCCATTTTTATTTTATCAGAAATATTGGTTTACCCTTTAAATTTGCAGTAATTAGTCTTAACATTATGTTCTAGTCTACAAGATTCCAACAAACATGATTTCTATATTTGTAGTCGATTTATTTCAATCTATTAATCAAGAAGCATTATAGCTCGACTGACATTAGTTATAACAAAGTATCTTGTTTTAGGAAGAATAATTGACTGTGCATTTACCGTCACATTTAACCCAAGATATGACAAGCTCCTAGAAGCTGTCAAAGATGCAACAAATACTGGAATAAAGGTAATAAACATTTTACACTTTTAAAACGGCTTTGTTGCTAAATGTTTCATAAATATGCAGAATGCTGGAATTGATGTACGTCTATGTGATGTTGGAGAAGCAATTCAAGAAGTTATGGAGTCCTATGAAGTAGAACTGGATGGCAAAACATACCAAGGTACTACTCTCAGATTTGATGATCATGGCTTTGTTTAAATGAGTGGTTGAAGTCGTTATGTTGGACATTTTAGTTAACTTGTTATCCCTTTACATTCTAGTGAAACCCATTCGAAATCTGAATGGTCATTCAATTGGCCAGTACAGAATACATGCTGGTAAGACTGTCCCCATTGTGAAAGGAGGGGAGGCAACTAGAATGGAAGTGAGTGGAATATTTTTGGGCAGAGAAATTTATACTGATGACCTGTTTTATGTCAACTAATCTTTACATTCTCACAGGAGGGAGAAGTCTATGCCATTGAAACATTTGGGAGCACAGGAAAGGGTGTGGTTCATGATGATATGGATTGCTCTCACTATATGAAAAACTTTGATGTTGGCCATGTTCCTATCAGGTATTTCATACATCCATTTGTTGTGGAAGGTGTGTACTCAAACATTCCACTTAATTTTGTTTTACATTTTTCTTTCAGATTGCCAAGAGCAAAACACCTGTTAAATGTAGTTAATGAACATTTTGGCACTCTTGCATTTTGTCGACGTTGGCTTGACCGCCTGGGAGAAAGCAAATATCTCATGGCCCTGAAAAACCTGTGTGACCTGGGAATTGTGGACCCCTACCCTCCGCTTTGTGACAGCAAAGGCTGCTACACTGCTCAGTTTGAACACACAATTCTGCTGCGGCCTACCTGTAAAGAGGTGGTGAGCCGTGGAGATGATTACTGATAGTCGATACATGCTACTCACACTACCTGCAGTAGGCATATATAACCGCAAGTCAGAGGGGGATGTGCCGTTACCCCAACTTTAAAAAGGGGTAGTCTGGTTCTTGGATTGGTAAATTTGGGTTTATATTGACAAGCTTATTTTTGTCAAGAGTTGTGTTAAGTAGACACAATTCAAAGCAAAGCCTTGCAGATAAAGTATAAACATGTAACTGCGTGACAGTTAACATGATTTTACTGATTGCATTCTAGTATTCAAATGGAAGGTGAGCATGAGAGGACACCTTCTTACCTGTATTTTAGTTTGGTCACCACTGTATGAGTCCTCAATGCTTGGTGCTCAAGTTCTATTAAGTACCTATGTAAGGATGGGATTTAATAGTGGTCAGACAGGGGCAAGTCTGAAGGATTTTAACCTTACATTTGCAGATAAATGTTCAGCCTGCTAGGATGGTAGAATTTGCACTTGGGTCCCTTGCCTTTGTTTTGATATTTGTAAAATATCTTTGAAATTGTTGCCACTATTTGTTCAAAATAAACATTAATTTTCAAATTGTTTACCAAGGGAAAAACACTATGCAATTTAAAAAATAATTTTATTGAGGTAATTTCTATAGAAAAACTGAGGTAAGAATTTGCATAGTACAAGTTCCACAAACAATTTAGGTATGTGCTTTGAGATTCTAGAACATGAGTTTCTGTAGATAAATATTTGTATTGACTAAAGTAAAAACAGTATTTGCAGAAATGGAACCTGCTGGTGATAAACAATCAGCCAAGACTGTATGAAAGTATGAAACCTGAGCAAAATATTACAAAAGTTACTTTTAAGATGTGGGTAAAGGACAGCCATAAAGCACAATTCACTTGTACCCAAATATAGCTATAGTCAAAGGTCACTTACAAATTAAAAAAATAATTTTCCAATCCAAACGATCAGTCATTTGTTCAGATATAACAGGGTAGCAAACAGTGCGCTTGTGTAAGTGCTAACCGTAGTACAAGTTTAAAAACAGGTCCCAGCATACATTTTACAACCATTCATCTGGCAGTGACCTCAAATACCAAATGAGTTAAGGTTTAACATTAATTCCACCAAAAATACATTGGTTTTTATTTTAAAAAAATGTTCTAGTCTAAAATGAAGCAGCTGGAGGACAGGGCATAATCAGTAGAATTACTAGTATAGCACTAAACATTTAAGAAAATGGTTTCCCTTAAAAATTTAGACAAAACAATTAACCCTCAAAGCAGTATTTTTTTCCATTAAAAAAATGAAATTTCTAAATATGCTTTAATTTCAAATGGCAGTCTGGACAACCTTTGGGGGCCCTCCTGGAGTGGCCCTTTGGGAAGCACTGATTTAGAGAAAGAGGTTCATTTCTGTCAGCATAAATGATCGGTAGATTGTTTTAGGGCAATTCAACTTAGGATTTATAAGAAGTCTCTGATCATGCGGTTTAATTAATGGATGAGAGATATTTAAAGTCCTGGTCCTAACGCAACACAAGCCTCTGTCCTCCATCTGATATGACAATCTACGATGTGATCACTACAAATTAACCCTTGGCTACCTTCTGGTCAAGTTGACCCACCAGTGATCAAAAAATACCCTAAATATTTTGTATATAAAAATAAATATTTTCTAGCTCAATTTTGATTTTCCCCAACTTGACTGGTGTTAGGTTATTTAGACCCTAATTTAGGGTATTTTTTCTTCTACTTTCAATCACTGTGGCTGGTCATTTTGACCCGAGGGTAGCACAAGGATTAAGTTGTAAGCAACGGTTGGCTCCTACACAAGTATATCTTTGCTGACATTCTCTTTATAAAATGCAACTGCACAAACATCAATTTAAAAAATATAAAAAAATACCTACATATAAACAATATACAATACTCACGAAGCAGAACTGTATATAAAAAGACTGCTCCCTCTCTGCATGTTTAAAAATAGATAAAATGCCAAAAGGAGTAAGAGCACATGTGGCCGCTGTTGAGACATGGTGTTTCGGGGGTTGCTGCTACAGTGGGTCCTGAGTTACACGTGTGTAGAAGAGAATGTAGGCTTGTGCTTTGCACACTTCCTCCACCGAACACACATTCAGTTTTGAATCGTTACAGTGAACCCAAAAAGCTGAAAAGACAAACATAATTACACTTAATTACATAAAACTTTAGGTAAAGATTTTGTAATTTAGTGTACACTGGCATATTACACCTAATTTACTTAATTCTTTGAGTAATATTGTTAAATGAGGACCACAGTATGAAACAATCCTTTCTTACCACCGTCTCTGTTATAGCAGTATGACGTGTAATGGCCAGACCCAAAACCTTTTCCATGATGCATCACTACAGCAGAGAGTTCATAAGTGAAGTGCTGTGGATATGATGTGCTTGAGTTTGGATTTCCGTTAGTCGAGTAGGCAAAGATTTTAGAAGAGGCCTCAAGGCTGCAATAAGTCTCCATATTGAGAAGCTGATCAAAACTGACATGTACTCCAATCTTCTCTCTGTTGTTTCGTCCGGACCACCTGAAGAGAGTTGATAAAAGTCAGTATAGTCTCCATAAATGACGACTGTGAATGTAATGGAGGTAATGCCAAACCTAAAACGTTTAAGATGGAGCCGCAGAACCTGGGGGAGTTTGTGCACCATAAGTTGCTTTTGGGCTTCTGTAAGGAGAACTGGTTTAGATGTTCCAGTACGTCGAGCCACTGCAAACAAGTTTATTTTTTAAAGCAAAGGTCAATTCATTGATAATTTCATGTTATGTTAATTTTGTCCTGAACAGGCTACAGATAACGTGTTATAACCATCATTCCAAACAGGGCGACTTACAGTTGCACTGATCACAAGCATATATGTTTCCCTCCAGGGCCTCAGTCTCAGTAAACTTGGCTAACATTTCTGTCAAATGGCAGGAAGCGTGTGCCATAGAGTCTTTACTACTACGGTGATACCGCTCAGGGAACTCCAGCGATAAGTCCCAAAAGGGTTCCACAGTATTCGATCGATTTTTGCACCCCAAGCAGGTCACCTTAACATAATAAAAGACAAAAAATGACATTAAGTTTTATTTTGGATTTAGATGCATTTGCTACACTACGCGTATTAAGACGGATACATCAGCATTAATAGTTAGACAAAGGAGACTCGATGGTGTAGTCTTACCTGACTGAGGAGCTGGCCATGAAAGACTGTGTTGACCACAACCAGCACTTGCTTAATGAGACGTTTCTGTGGATCTGGGACGACCCCCGGGTTTCTATTGTTGCTAGCATTCTCCAGCTCATGCTGCACCTTGTCTAACAGTTCACACAAAAACTCCTGAGCATCTTGCTGAGCATAGCCTCTAAATGCTGGGATCAACTGCCACACCGAATGGAGCATTGCAAAGGGCGAAACCAGCGCCCACTTGCCTGACCACATAACCTGGAACAAAGTATGGAGTTCATGACAGATAGAGATGTGCTTTGAGCTTGGCTCTTTGGGCTGTATGAGTTCCATGTTCCGGCCTCTTGAGGCCCCACCACTCAGTCCTGGACCAGAGCCTGAACTGGACAGGGGTCCTCTCTTTTGGGTAAAGGGTGAAACCTTTCCTGCAGCTGATGCAAAAAGTTCCAGTGCTTGTGTAAGATCAAGGCGCAAAAAGCACTGCCTGAAAATATGTAGATGGCTGAGTACTTGCAAAATGGAGTTCATGTAGCAAGTGTTACCCAAGTTCCTTAGTCCTGTCACACCTGGGGTCACAGTGGGCCGCCGTTTCAACGGAGAGCCACTCTGTTTGGTACTCTGCTTCTTACTCTGTTTGCGGCGAGCACTATTTTGTGTTACACGAGTTGAGGATGTTCTGGCTTTAGATTTGCTTGAAGAGCGGTTTTTGGTTGTGTTTCTTTGTTTAATTTGTGGTGTCTTTTTAACTTTTTTTGTTGGAAGTGCAGCAGGTCGTTCCATTGGTGACTTGGGTTTAGATGATGGTTGAGCACGTTTACTTTTGGAAGGTGCCAATATTACTGCATCCACAAGTCTTTTGCTTTTTTGCCTCAAGCGCCGACTTTTTCTAAGAGGGGCATTGTCCAGCTCCTCCTGCTTTTGCCTTTTCTGTGCTTGTCTTTGCTCCCTGGCTTCGGCTTTTTGCTCATCTTCCTCCCACTTTCTCTCTTCCTCCTCTCTCTTTTTTCCACATTCAGTAAATCCAAACCAAATTCTGAAAATGCGTCCCATAAGAGATCTTCGTCTATGCCATAAGGCAGTGAACATTCGGTCCTCATCCCTCAGTTGTAGCTCCTGTGCGCCAAATGACAAGAGGCTCTCAGGAACCACAGTGGAAGAGCGAAGTGTTCGTCCACTGCGCGTGGTAACTTCATAGTGCTGGCTCTGAATTGCACTAAGTGTACTTCGGAGCAGCTTTAGATCTCCTGTGTTGTTATCATTGAGGACATAGTCATCGCACAAGTAGCAAAAAACATAAAGTTCATTAACTTCCATTGCCAATGGGTGGCGGTGCAGTTGAAAGTGCTGTAAAGCATGTTCCTCAATGTATCTGCCACACGCCACATGAGCACAGCCGAGACAGGCCCACACAGACTCTGTGGTGTTGCAGTCTACACAGTGCCACTTCTGGGGATTGAGGATGGAGTGGTCAGGAGCAAGCCGCAGCCGCCCCACATGCTTACACCTGTCCATTGCACACACTTGCTGCTCAACTGAAGACTGGATCTTTTATTCCACAGCTAAAATGTGGCTCATATCACCTTGGCAACAATGGCTTTCCGATCGAATCCCTTCTGGACATCGTAATGTCTGAAAATAAAACAAAATTTGGATCATCATCATGAGACAATACGGTAAAGTAAACAAAAACAAAACATTGGCTGAATTTGTTAAACGGTGGGCATCTTTCGGGGAGGTGGAAAATCCTCTAAATTAAAAAAAAATTAAAAGCCGTACTATGGAACATTCTCTATTGAAATATGCTATGTATGTTTGGAAGGAGCAACATTATGGGCAAAGGAAAGAGTTTGATGTAAACAAGACAAGAACGTGTCGAGTGGAAAGCACACAAACGTTATTTGCAGCAAGACAGTAAGAAAAAGTATTTTATTTTGTACAACAAAAGATCGTACAAAGACAACTACGGTACGGGTACATCACTGGAGGTACCATTGTAGCACTGAAGGTAGAAAAGTAGCGTGTAAGCAAGTTTTGCCACAACTTGATACATTTTGAAAATAAATACATTTCGTATTTCGTAAGGAATAGTTAAGATTACAATACTCAAAATATAATTATTGTAATATTATTTTGTAACAACGGTCGAATGTCTCACTTCATGAAGAGGTGAACAATGTTAAATGTTTAAAGGTAAAGAAGTACTTGCCTGTTAACTCGTGTGTAGGGAGAAGACAGCAGACAGACCTTGCTTGCCATGGTTCTAGTACGTGTTTGGCTTAGAGAGATTATAACGCTAGCTATAGCTAAGAAAACCTAGCATGCTAAGTAGCGATGGCTTAATCTTAAATCATTTTTCCTTGGTAAAAACAAGCAGTATTTTGTCTGAGTGTATGGCTGTTATGGTGGATACACGTGTGCAATAATACGACGCAACAGCTAGCTCAACAGACCACAACACTTGTTTGTAATAAAATGTGTACCTCACTTCTCAGACCAGTGGCGACTCTACACAATCCAATCACATCCTCCATCTTGTCAGAGAATGTCGCGCGTGCTTGATGCTCTCGCGATACTCACAAACTGAACTGGCCAAGGTTTCACATGTTTCACGTCTACATTTTATGACATAGATCTGTAAAGGTTTATGGTTACCAGAGAAATGGGGAGAACAAACACTGTACACTGATTTCAATGGAAGTAACTTGATTTCAATGCAATTCTGTTTTTCACAGTAATATGAATAGATTACAGTTTAGTTTTAGCGTTTTATCAGTGTATGTGTGTGGTAGAACAGGCATTTCAGTTATCCCTAGTGCTTCTTCTTCTGTTATTAAATTGTAATTTCATTTCTACGTAAATTTAGCTTTTTTTCAAAACGATTTTTATTAAATCAATCATGATACAAACAATAGATGCAAATCACGCTACTTATATAGAAAAACTTAAATGAAAAACTAAAGATGAAACTAAACCAGGGCATACATTTAGATGTTTGTTGTTATCTGTAAATGTAAATAGCATGTATAAATAAATGAAAGGATTTTAGCAGCATTCTTTGAGATTGAGTGAAGTATAACATTGTCTGAACTCATTCCTCAAATGAGTGTAGTTCGGGATGGTTTTCAAAACACGACATTTGTGAATATAATGTTTAGCTATAAGTATAAGATTGTTAACACCAAAGTCAATTAAAATATTATTAATGGAAATACCAAACATAATATCATGGATAGCTTTAAAAATATATCAGGCTTACATTTACATTCATTTCATGAATGAACATTTACACAATAAATAAATAGACCCGATTTGGAAAATTAGTTCTATTTCATATGTTGCTTCGCCCTTTAGGCTTCGCTAATGCATATCTCTCGGAAGCATCGCTTCCCGCCCTGAGAAGATCAAACGATCCACCCTCCAATCACCTTCACGTCCTGGCGTAGGCCAGTCCCCTATAAATAGGGCCATGCACCACAGCTCTTCTCCTTTCTCTCTCAGCTTGCCTAAGAGAAGCTTCGATTCATTTGCTAGGATGTCTTCAAGCAAGATCCCCGCGCCTGAGAACTTGCCACCCTCCGGTGTCAGGCTGCGGATCTGCGACTTGTGCCCAGCGGCACTCTCCCAGACTGACCGCCACGAGTCCAGCGTCTTCTGCCTGGGCTGGCGTCGTGCCGCGGGAGAAAGCCCCAGATGTGTGGCTTGTCTCGCCGTGGATTATTTATGCCGTATAGAGTGGTGCCCTTGGTGGCATCGCTCATGGTGTGCTACCCTCTATCCACGCTGAACAGACGTATAGCTAATACACCACAGATGGTTGTCCTATAGCTTAACACATCACTTTGCTCGCTTCATCCCTGGAGTGGTGCCCATGGTGGCTCGCTCATGGGGTGCTACGTTCTGCTCACGCTGGACAGGCGTAATACTACTGCGCCACAGATGGTTGCTTATTAACATCACTCTCGGTGCCCATGGTGGCTCGCTCAGGGTGTGCCTCTGCTTCACTATATCAGCCGCGAGGGGATAGGCCCATGACAGCCCATTCCCCGGCGATAGCGTATGGAGTATACGCGGGCGCGGAGGCCTGGCCTTGGCGGTCAGGCTTTCCTCCCATAGAGGATGGAGTACGCCTGTACACCAGCTTCCTACGGGGTCCCCCCCCGAGCGGGGCAAGCCGGCCGTGTCCATGCTTGACAGGTGTTAGGCTTGTGCATCATAGGTCGTTGCTATGGCTTATAACATTACTCTCCTCGCTGCATCCCTCGGACAGGGACCGCTCTGCCACCCCGCACCGCTCAGAGCCAAGAGGAGACAGCAAGCGCGTGACAAGCAGAGGAGCAGCAGCCACCCCGGCTTTGCAGCTGCAAGGAGGGGAGGGAAACGCTTTAATAAAGGCCATCATCAGGCCCGTTACTCCCTCAAAGAGAACACTTCTTTCCCCTTTTCCTTATCCTCTGCCTGGAGCCTCTCTCAGCGCGCCTCTCGTGCGCGCGCTGGAGGCATGGTCCGGGACCGCTGTGCGCTCCCCGTGCCTTTGCCTCTCTTGGGCAGAGAGTGTGCGCGGCTGCACGCTACCCTCCTACGCTCTCTGTGCGCCACGAGCACCAGCTCACAGCTGTCCTGCCCTCACGCTGCTACCCGGTAAAAGCCAGGGCCGCAGCTAGGGCTCAGACCTTTTTCCAGCGGCCCCCCACTATCCAGAGCAATGAGTGGACTGCTCTCCCCCCCCCCCCTCAGTCCACAGTGTTGGGGAGCGGGGGCTCGGCTCCACGTAAGCGCAGCACACCTGCCCTCACGTGGCCACCCAGAAAAAGGGCCCAGGGCCGCAGCTAGGGCCCAGCCCTCTTCCCAGGGCCCCCCCCCACTGCAAAAAGTGGGACTGCTCGGCCCCCTATCAGTCCACAGTGTTGGGGAGCGGGGGCTCGGCTCCACGCGGCCACCCGGAGAAGGGCCCTGGGCCGCAGCTAGGGCCCAGCCCTCTTCCCAGGGGCCCCCCCACTGCAAAAAGGTGGGACTGCTCGGCCCCCTCTCAGTCCACAGTGTTGTGGAGCGGGGGCTCGGCTTCACGTAAGCGCAGCACACCTGCCCTCACGCGGCCACCTGGAAAAAGGCCCAGGGCCGCAGCTAGGGCCCAGCCCTCTTCCCAGGGGCCCCCCACTGCAAAAAGTGGGACTGCTCGGCCCCCTCTCAGTCCACAGTGTTGTGGAGCGGGGGCTCGGCTTCACGTAAGCGCAGCACACCGGCCCTCACGCGGCCACCTGGAAAAAGGCCCAGGGCCGCAGCTAGGGCCAAGCCCTCTTCCCAGGGGCCCCCCACTGTAATAAGTGGGACTGCTCGGCCCCCTCTCAGTCCACAGTGTTGGGGAGCTGGGGCCCGGCTCCACGTAAGCGCAGCACACCTGCCTTCACGCAGACACCCGGAAAAGGGCCTAGGGCCGCAGCTAGGGCCCAGCCCTCTTCCCAGGGGCCTCCCACTGCAATAAGCGGGGCTGCTCGGCCCCCTCTTAGTCCACAGTGTTGGGGAGCAGGGGCTCGGCTCCACGTAAGCGCAGAACACCCGCCGTCACGCGGCCACCCGGGAAAAGGCCCAGGGCCGCAGCTAGGGCCCAGCCCTCTTTCAAGGGGCCCCCCACTGCAATAAGCGGGACTGCTCGGCCCCCTCTTGGTCCACAGTGTTGGGGAGCAGGGGCTCGGCTCCACGTAAGTGCAGCACACCTGCCCTCACGCGGCCACCCAGAGAAAGGCCCAGGGCCGTAGCTAGGGCTCAGGCCTTTTTCCCACGGGCCCCCCACTATCCGATGCCTCCCCAGGATGGGACATCTGTGGGCGGACCAGGCCTTTCTCCCTCCTCCCATCTCACTGTGCTTCCCTTGACCCATGTTGTCACTGTATCGGAACAGTCGGGGCTCCGGGGAACTCTGTGGATACACAGAGTGCTGAGTCGGGGCTATGCTCTCCAGTTCTCCTGGCGGCCCCCTCCTTTCTGCGGCATTCTCCAGACAGGGCTAGGCAGCCCGGAAAACGCCGTGGCGCTTCACAGGAGGTCAACACGCTTCTGCAGCGCCGGGCGGTAGTGGAGGTAGACCCGCTCAGGACAGGGACAGGGTTTTACTCTCCATACTTCATAGTCCCCAAAGAAAAAAAAAAAAAAAAAAAAAAAAGTGCGGAGGGGTGCGGGCCATGCTGGACCTGCTCGTCCTCAATGGCTGCATAGCCAAGCGACTGATTCGCATGCCCACAGTAAACAGCTACTCCTGAGCATCAGGCCCGGGGACTGGAGGTCCTCCGTGGACCTCCACGACGCGAATTTTCACAAACCCATTGCACAGGGGCACAAGAAGTTCCTCCGGTCCCCCACTCGGCTACTCCCTAGCCCCCCCGCACCTTCTCCAAGTGTGTGGAGGCGGCGCTAGAACCCCTTCGGCGTCAGGGCCTCAGGACACTGACGTATATCAACGAATGGTGATCCTGTCCTCCCGGGAGGATGCGCAGGATCAAACGTTCAGAGTGTTAAACCACGTGCCCACCTAGGGTTTGTGATCAATAGGGACAAAAGCTCCCTGTGCCCGGCCCAGGAGATCTTGTATCTGGGACTGGGCTTGAATTCCAGGAGCATGACGGCTTCACTCTCGCCAGAGAGAGAAGCGGCGGTTCAGAACCTGGGCCGGATCGTTCTGGGTGAACCTCGGGTGCAACCGCGGCAGATCCAGTCTCTCTTGGGCATGATGGCAGCGGCCCATCCAGTGGTGAGACTGGGGTTGCTGCACATGCGATATCTCCAGAGGTGGTTCTCACACCTCAGGGGCTTATCACGGAGGGAGCAACTGTCGTTGAGGGCTCAGAACGACGTCGCCTTCTGGCTGTCCCCAGGTCGACTCCAGGAGGGAGTTCAAATGGGTGTTGTGGACCACCACATCAAGGTCTTCACGGACGCCTCACTGAGTGGTTGGGGAGGCGTGCTCGGCCACCACTCGACAGGAGGCGTTTGGTCCTCCCCCTTGGGGCACATCAACCTCCTGGAGTTGGAGGCGATGCGGTTGGTGCTGGCCCATTTCATGACCAGACTGGAGGGCCAACAGGTGATTGTTCGGACGGACAACACCACTGTGGCAGCATATCTGAACAGGCTTGGGGGGACCAGGTCCCCCGCCCTTCACAGGCTGGCAGTGGAGGTTCTTCTGTGGGCGGACATTCACCTAGCCTCTCTGAGGGCCCGTCATATCCCAGGCGAGCGTAACGTGGCCGCCGACAGGATGTCCA